GTTCTGCTCCCGCTGCGCCGTACGTAATTATGTCATGTCTATTTGAGATCATGCTAGAATTCCTATTCTAATTTGTGCCTTAGATTCGATCTATTCATCTACTATGCTAGTCCGTATGATTAGTTTAATATCTGCTATTGTCATCATGATTTATTTACTGTTTATTCTGATTAAATCACGTAGTAATTTGTTCGTATATTCAACACTCATTGTTGCCTTGTTGGATGTGTTAGTTCATTGATTGAGTTATCTAAGACTAGGAATAGTTCAGTTGTTCATCATGTAATGTAATTTTGTATTGGGTGTGTCTAGGGCACATCTAGATGTGCTCTAGTTATTGCACATCTAAGTGGGTGAATCAAGCATAAAGAGAAAAGGAAAAAAGAGAAAGAAAATATTCACACGAATCTCAATGTAAGATCAATGACATATGACTTAGATGTGCAATACTTATGGCACATCTAGATGTGCTTTAGCAAAACTGTTTTGTATTCCCACGTGGTGTACACGATGAGATATAGAAGGAAGCAAGCTATGTTTGACAAGTTACAAAAATAATTCACTATCATTTTCTGGCAACAACTGGCGTACTGTTTGATAGATGTTTTTTTTTTCTTGAGAGGATCGTTTGATAGCTGTTCGCATTTAAAGTACGAGACTTTCTGCTAGGATTTTTTTTTTGACTGGGAACTGTAGGGGAAATTTCTGCTAGGATTTTTATCAATACTGAGACGCTGATCGACCAGTTTTGTGTCGTGACTCTTCCAATCCAACAAAACAAAAGAGAGTTCTAAAAAAGTTCTCCAAAAAAAAGTGACCAAGCAACAACTTTGGGTAGCAAAAAAGCAAGCACAAAGGAAAGGGTGTGCCCAGGGCACATGTAGATATGCTTTACTTATTGCACATCTAAATGACTCAATCAAAATAGAAAGAAAAAGAAAAAAGAGTGTCCGAAAATGGTTGCAAAAATCTTCATGTAAAATCATTGGCATAGAACTTGGATGTGCAATACTTATGGCACATCTAGATGTGCTTTAGCAAAACTGAATTTAAAACTACATTTTTTGTGGGGGTTGCATTTATTTTTAAATGATCAGATCTCTTATAAAAGTTCATCGAAAGTACAAAGCATTTCAAATATAATAAAAATTACATCGAGATTCTGAGATCACTAAACGACTACTATTGCCGCCAGAACGAGTTGTCGGCGTGCCGCTGTCGCCGCTCCCCTACCTGAGTCGGTTTGATCTTGTCGATGATAGACATAGGTCTTCTTACATGTGCCCCTAAGGACTAGCGCCCTGGAGCCGTGTTCGTCCCCATTGAATCCTTGTATAGATCTGAAGTATTTGACACCAAAATATCGTCACACGACGAAAACCGTAACCTTACGCCCCAAGGTGGTGGCAAGAATCTACTCCGGAGCTCCATCGAGTCCGTTTAAATGGATATACTCGAGGAGGATCGAAGCACAGAAGAGAAACTCGAAGAAGAAGCCGCCATCCGCCCAGGCGCCACACCTGCAAAGACTAAAAAACCCTAATCTGAACTACTAACTAGAGTGGAGGCACCGGGATTCTCATCTCTGTCACCAGCCGCCAGAGCGGCGGGCATAGGGAAGGCGAATGCACAAGCTCGCCAGTGAAGTCTGGAGGAAATTTTTTGTCCTAACCGCCTAGGGTGAGGGAAGAAAACTGCGGGAAGTTGCATTTAAAATCAGTCTTAATAAGCAAGCAATAAAACAAACAATCGAATTTGAAGACGGGGGCTTCTACCAACAGCCAGGTGGCACCTATTAGTCAGGTGTCTGATTTTTTTTTCTTTGTGTCAGTAATAATTGTGGACCGTTAAATCTTCAACCAACAGCCGTGATCTTGGACATCGCTCTGCTTCAACCTCTCTTCCGCCCACTATCTGATCCATCATGGGCCAGGCCGCTTGTTGTCGTATCCATCCGCAACCACCACGCCGCCCTCTCATTCTTCTCCGGCTAATCCGCATCAGTAAACCTGCTTTCTCGCCTCCTTCTGGTACTTCGCATCTTGTTGCCGCTCGCTGCGTCATCCTCATCTCCGGCGAGGTCCTGACTCGGTCTCGCCGGAGTCGGCGCTCCTTAATGTGCTCATCACGTTGCCATCGTTTTCGCCCTCGGTGGAATTGACAGGTGCGAGCAGACTTCAGGTGCTTGATGGTTAGCAAATGTTTACAACTTTTTACCACCTGTTAAAGTCTACGTACATGTTGCCTTTCTTTTGTGTGATGTCGCTGTTGACATAGCCAACTTTGATCAACCGTAAGTTTTTTCTTTCTTTCTTTCTTGTTTTCTGTGCGGGGAGAGCAAGCTGGTAAGTATTCCCTTCGTAAAGAAATATAAGAGCGTTTAGCACACAAACATAACCTAATATGGCGCTTCTCCCGGAAGCAAACCGAGGCATTACGTGCCCGTTTGAACAACCCATGCAGACTAAATGCCCTGCAATTAATCGCCAACAGGAAAACCGAAAAGGACGCGGTAAACTGAAGCAAGTGAGTTGTTGCACGCGACGATCTGGATATTCAGACTGCGAGGCTGTCTGGATCGTGAAACAGAAAAACAGCTCGCCGATCGGTCGATCTAGCCGCACAGCCGAATGATCGGGAGGCCAGTCGGATACGGTACGTACGTGGAGAGCCTCCGATCCAAGCGCCTTGAGCGGTGGTTTAATACGCCGACAGGGACCTGATGACGGCCGATCGTGCGTAAACCTTCTCGCCGGCGGCGAGCAGAGCTACCGGAACGTCCGCGTGCATGCTGCCGGATCCAGCACGTGCTCCTTTGCACCGCAGCACTATCGATTCGATCGCGATAGGGAATGCTCGTGTGTGTCTCTGCAGAGAGATTAGGATCGTTCTTGGATAATTGTGGACCGCAAGGTCATGCACGGTGCGGCCGTGCGGCTCCGTTTTTCTCCACGTTAGCTGCATCAACCGGCCGGTCGGATGGCGACCGGTGGGCCGTGCAAACTTTTTTTATTCATTTGAATTGCTTATCACATACTCTCTATGTCCTAAAATATAAGAACGTTTTTTACACTAGTAGAGTTAAAAATATTGTTATATTATGGAACGGAGGGAGTAGTACAGTATGTGTCACTTGTGGGTCGTGCAAACTTGAGGAGTACTACGTGACCGGGCGCGCGGCGCGGCGATCGATCCCATCTGTCCACGGGATCGTCGGAGACGCGACGGAGCAAAAAAGCAAGCGTGACACGGAAAGTTCCGGCCCCGATCGGTAAAAAACACGAGTCTCGACCGACCGCATGGCTCTGTTTCTCCCGTGTAGTTGAGCCAATGTGGACCGGACCAGTCGGGCCACGCGCCAGCCGACGCTTCCTGTCGAGTCGACCGCTCGGTTCGTGGCTCGTTGTGGCAAACTCCCGCGACAGGAGAATGGACCTTGCTACGGATAAGTTTCTCTGCCTGTCAACTGAGCGTTCGGTTTGTCACCTACGAATACGATCGGACATGACCGTAAGGAATTCCCCTTCACCAGTGATTCTCTTTTGCGTATCTTCTTCATTTGGTCAGTAGGATTTTCTTCATCGTATAAAAGAGTTTTCCCTTAACTTACATTAACAGAAGCTACACGGGGAAGTCGACTCTTAGCGAAATCTCCAAAGCGGGCTGTCCGTATATGTTTGGACATAAGTGTTCGGATTATTTTTTTTCATCCAACATGGTCCCTTAAATATCCTCGAACCAATTTGTATGTTTGAATTCTGGTATGCTGGCTGTAAACTTGAAAACGTTCTGTGGGCGTCCGGACATGTGCATGTCTAACCAAAAAGCAACCGCACGGCACCTTACTTTCTTCTCCCAGCCGCACACCACACACACAACACACGCATGCATGAAATTTTTTGAGGATCGTGTTTGATGGCTACCTTTCCTACCCTGTCCGTGGACACACCCCGGACATGTCGCAGTGTTCCTTTTGAGGGCTTGCTTTGCATATGCCCTAAGACAATACCTACTAAAGTGCAAAGACGATGAAAATTTACGGTGATTTTTCTGTAATATAAGAGATCCTATAAGCTTCGGGGAAAGACCAGAAGACACAGAGGGGGCATGTTCACAATCTTGGAAAAATAAATTCTTCTCATTCGAAGCATGTTCACATGTTCTATATTGTTATGGTTGTATATATAGTTTAGATTCGTCATCCTCTCCCTAACTCGGGCTTACATTGGACCATATGTGGGAACAAAACTTATCGCACTTGGCCTTATTTCTCTTCAGAAAATGGATACACTCATAAGCTGCTACAATATTATAAGTTATGATCCTCGAGGAACAAAACCAACTGTTCAACAGGTATGATATCGGACAAAACCACCTTCAGCTTGTTGGAGAGATCTTTAGAGGCGATTGTGTAAGTAATATTGCACAAAGTAATTGAACGAAACTAGCACGCCTCCTTCGGCCTAGCCACTTTGAGAATGAGCACAATATATGTATGGTTGATAGCTACCGGCGAAGAATCGCCGTAGTAACCTTGCTCCACAAATATTCTAGTGACGCTGGAAAATATGTGTAGGAAACCCATCTGGCCCAGGGCTCTGGTGGTGAATTAGTCGTCATAATGCTGGTGTTTGATTAATTGAGAGCATCTGCTCTTTAAAATAAAAACAGAAAGAAAGCTTTTTTTATATCAAACAGAAAGAAAGGTGAAATTACAGTGCACTACTAGTTTTTTTTTTTTTTTGAGGATACAGTGCACTACTAGTAGTTGGGCTTCCAGCTTTACTCTAAGAGCCCAACCCAATCGACGAGCTGCCACACTGGGCCTCGCCCAGAACCACCAGTCGCGTCGGCCGCGCCGTGGAATCACGCTGCCGACGACTTGGACGACGGCGGCAAGCAACCGCGAGCGCGGCCGCCGCGTCCCGGCGCGTCGCTGAATCGGTCAATTCCGCGTCGCCCTCCCACCTACCCATCCCCCAACCGGTGGAAGGGGGGCCATGAAGAAGTCGTTCTGCTTCCGCGGCTCCGCTGCGAAGAGGGCAGGACGGACGCCGATGGCGGACTGGTGCGTCTTCTGCGACATCGCCCGCCGCGCCCCCGCTTCCACCGCCGCTCTCCTCTACTCCGTTCCGTACACCGTCCCCTTACCTTCTCCGATCTGAACTCCGCCACCTGTCGATTTGCTTGCTAAATGTTCGACCTTTTGCTGTTGTGCGCAGGATGACAAGGTCGTCGCGTTCCAGGACATCAATCCGTCCGCGTTCAGGTACTTGCTGGCCGTTGTAGTCTGTTCTTTCAGCGCCGTGTCGCTGTCCTTGGTCTAGATGTGGCATTAGCACACCTCATCGAGGTAGTAGTGCTCTTGTTCATTTCGTCGAACAATTGGCGAGCATCACGAGAATTGGTGTTTAGATTTAGTTCTTCATCTGTCCTGCTAGTGCAAGCTGGTACTCTTGTAGTCTTATACTCTTATAGTTGGAGCTGCTTGATTTGTTTGCTATCTAAGTGTGTGTAAATAATGTTTTCTTTATATTCTGATTGTGTTAAGAAACTGTCGTGTAGTTAGTGTTTATCAGGTCACACAGTTGCTGTTTATCATGTCACGTAATCGGTGTTTCCTTTCAATGTTTGCTACTCACTGCCAGAGCAATTTTTTGACTGCTCTTGTCAATCAGCTGAGAACCTAGTGTGTGCTGATATGTGCCTATGCACAGGTTATTGTTCATTGAGACCAATATTTGTCTGGACACCTATCCGAAACACCGCCTTTCCTAGCAAGTTATCATTCACTTCTTGAGTAGCGTTAGCGTTGTGTTTATTTTAATCTCATGCAAGGTAGTAATATAGATGACATATGGTATACATGTACAATTGCAGTTCTCTGATTAAATTTGTACAACTATAAAAAATATGGCATAGTTTACATTTCATGATCAGTTAGTTGCTGTAATTAATATGTGTGTGGTGGTTAATAACATCTATTCCCTCCGTCCCAAAATAAGTGTCTCAAGCTTAGTACAACCTTGTACTAGAGTTAGTACAAAGTTGAGACACTTATTCTGGGACGGAGGGAGTATCAAACATGTCAAACACGTTTTACATTTACTCAGTGAAAGGGATAACAGGCGATGTTGAGCTCTTTTTGCTGTCTGCCTCTTTGATAAGCCCTTGATATGCCAGAGTGCTTATCCCTTGATTTTACTCTTAGCAGCAATATGAGTTCAGTTCTTCTATTGACCACCACAAGATCCATCATTTATGATCAGCTTGTGCATACCGTTTCTTTTATCTTGAAGATCTGTGTTCGAGTATTCTTGTTGTGCAACGTTTGCAGGCACTATCTTGTCATACCCATCGAGCATATACCAACTGTAAAAAATCTCCAAAGAACCAACGAAGATCACCAGTTAGGTGTGTGCTCATAGCTTCTTGCTTCATGTAACACTGGCTTGCTACTACATGTCATTTTGTTCAACCATGGATGCTTGGTGAACTATAACATTTTTCTCCTTTGCAGTTAGTCACATGGTGAAGGTGGGAAAAGATTTACTCAGTCGAGATGCTCCCAAATCTGAGGAACATAGGTATTGCTAAAAACAAAAGAAATACATTTGTTCTGGCATGGTGTAGATCAGCTTGAAAGCAGTATCATATGTTGTTAACAATTATACTTTTCTGTTATTACTTGTAGATTTGGTTTTCATCAGCCACCATTTAATAGTATTGATCACCTCCATCTTCACTGCCTGGCACTGCCATTTATACCCAGGTACTGAAGTTAATTAATATCATGCCCTTGTTTATTTAAATATGGCATGTTTTCCCATATAAATTTCTTTTTGCGCTCATCTCAAATTATTCATACTCTTCATCTTAACAGTTGGAGGCAAGTAAAATATACACCATTGGGTCCCTTAGGGGGCTTTATTGATGCTGAGAAGGTATTGGAAAAAATAAAACCAGAAACAGAAGTGTACAGTTAATAAAAGTATTTAAGACTGGTACTGGCTATTCCTGATTATTAACGTTCTTCTACTTTTTTGCTTGTAATATCATTTGTATGTGGTTTGTATCCCTATTACTATTCTTGGATCGCTATAAATTCGAAAGACTTTGTCTGAAATGCTATACTTCATATCTTCATCCTGAAATCCATGGAAGTTCAACTCCAACCACTCTTTTTTAGATTTCCTTTCATTCATTGGTCATGTACTGGAAACTTGAATATGGGGAGCAGCAGTGCTGCACAACTTACAGATCTACACTAGCATGGTCCGAAGAAGATTCGCAAACATTGTATTCTCATCTTGTTAGCAGCGATAGCTTACGAAGTGATCTTGGTAGGGCTGTCTGTAGGAGGATCACTACCAAATCAGAGGGGTCATCAATTTTGGCCCACTAATAATGGCCCACCTGTTCATTATTACCTAATCAGATGGCACTGTCAACCATTCTCACAAAAAATAGATGACACTGTCATGCAAAGACATTCACACACTTTTGCTACATAATAATCATTGCCTTTCAATTGATTGCAGTAAAATTTGATTTACAAAGGCACGAGCACGATCATAAACTACTGATTAACCCAACACCACATGGGGCGCCATTGTTGGGTGTTTTCTTGTACGTATACCAATGTATTATGTATGTTTGTATGTACACCATATATGAGGTCTAGCTAGGAACCTCTGGAGCATTTGGTACAGGCGTACAGCTCCCATGTACTGCAGTGCAGCGGATCAGGCGCTGTGCCCTCGAACCAGCGGGCTCCACTTCCCCATGTCGTAATCGTCGCAAGCGCTGATGCTTGCCTCCTTCATCTCGGCCTCGGAGACGCCATTGTTGCATATGTTGGCGAACGCCCTCATGTGCTTCATGCCATACTGAGTGAGTGATCCGCACTGAGACTCGAAAATTCGCACCTGGCAGTTGGCATCAGTACAGACTACAGAGTAAGTTCAACCGGAAGCAGAAAGAGTCCAGGGTGTTGCATATTTATGTGATTTTAAATATGGAAATGTTACACTCACCATCGTCTTCAGACAATCCCAATCGTCGACCAATGGCTGGCCAGAGCCTCTAGCAGCGTCAAGCACTGAAGGACCCTTTTCGAATCCAAAGACAAGCTTCCCGATGAAATCGATACTGCTGTCGAGATGCTTCCTGTGTAGCACAGTTTCTTTGATCTCCGTGAGAGCCCTCTGCTTCTCCTCTGATCCACCATTTAACTGCTCATACTGAAAGCGAGAAGATACATCATTAGTTAGCAGACAAATTTGGAAAAACAAAGCACGGGCCACAAAAATTGACAAGAAATACGAGCTTAAGCTGAAATAACTGGAACTTTACCTTCTTCCACATGAAAAGAATGTCGGCATCTCTTTGATTGATTGCACCCTTGAGGCTGGGCAAACGCTGCCTGAAATAACTGGAGTATGACTTTGCAGGATCGAAACCTTGATAGAGGAAAAGCATGTCACCCTTGAATGTCTTGTCACCATACTCCATGACATGAGAGCCAATACTGGACTCGTTTGGGGGTGCCGTTCTCGCTTTAACCACCTCGTACTGCTGCTTGATGCTTTCCTTCTTCAGATTGTGAGTTTCACTGCAAGTTAAGCAGGATCCGATCCGATGATTCAGAATAGAAAGCGAACCTCATGATTGTACTCCTAGATAACAGATACAAACTTGAAGTAATGTAGTACATGTATTACAGCTGCTGCTTATTACGTACCTGTCTTCCATCCAAGACACACTGTATGCGTCACCTAAACAGGTCTTGTATTCAGAAGGAGGTGGTACTTCCATCCCAGGGCAGTATGCTGCCCAGCTACTTTCTTCCGCATTTGCTGCTGTTGTAACATAAATATTGTGATCTTGTGGCATTAAACCCTCAAAGATGCTGCCACTCTCACACGCTTCAACATATATGATCTGCCAAAATTGTGGTAGTTCTCATTAGAGATGAGACTCAAAGCATACATGCTGTTTCAGATTCAAAAACAATAGAGATCTCAAAACAATAATCTTTATTAAGGGGAAAAGGGAAAGAAAGGATGCATACCATTTTCGAATAGCTTTTGGAAGCATGCTTTTGCCGTAACACTTTGATGAAGTCGCCAGCATAAACAAACGGCACGTTGGGCATACCTACATAAAAACTTGATAAGTTTAGCTAAGTTTGTACTAGAAAACAAATCAGCTGAAGTACAAGGTTTATGTGGGAGTATATATGCATGTACCAAGTGAACCAGCACCCCCATGATCCGTGTAGTAGATGAAGATGTGATCATTCGGTTTGCTGTTTATCACCTTCCTACTCCCTCCGGTGACCGCAGTTTTGTTCCCCAAGAGAACCGCATACAAGTTTTTAGCAGTGACGTGCTCACCGGTGTAATCCTGTAATAAAGATGATCATCAGTCATTGTAGGAAACTAGGTATACAACGCTATGCATTCTTTACATCAAAGCAACACTCTTGTTTGAATTAAAGGTAATATTAATAATACCTTGGGAACACCATGGTAAACATCTTTGCCTTTAGGATGGTTGATGACGACCCCACGCCTTGGGTTTTCAGGGCTGTTGGCGATATCGTCGTACATAAAAACCACTATGTTCTCATCCTTGAGTCCTCCCTTCTTCAGGATCTGGTACGCGTGACATACATCGGCCTGTACGTCGTCGTCGTGCATCAACAGCACCACAAATAATCGTTGAGCAAGCACACGCTATCAGAATTTTCATATAGTGAATGAATGATATACGAGCTGCATTAGTGTCTTAGTGAGGACCCTCGTCTCACCTGGTGCCGGTAGTTCTCGTAGCCGGAGGAGCCCGCAACGAGCACGGCCCACTTCGTCACCCCTTCCTCCGGCGCTGACGCGGCAGGGCCAGGCGCAGGGGCAGGGGCATGCCCGTTCTCCGTCGGCAGCCGGATCAGCGGCTCCGAGTCCCCATCCGCGGCCACCGCCAGCAGCAGAAGCGGGAGGAGTCCACAAACCCACCACGCGGCCATCGCCACCCTCGAGTTCATCATGTGCGTGTGCTAGAGCCTAGAGAGGAAGAGAAGGCAGAGAGTGAAGTGTGATCGTTCCTGTGGGGGATGGCGCCGCATTTTATAGCCGCGGCGGCGGCGTGCAGGGAGGGAGTGAAGTGTGATCGTCGCCTAGCAGTTCTCGCTCGGGCAGGCGCGCAGGCGCAGCGCCTCCGTATCCGTAGTGGGGTTTGCGTGGCGTACTGGCGTGCACAGTTTCCCATTTTTGGCTTCGAAATGCCCGCCTAAACTTGCTAAAGTGCCGTGATTTAGGCCGTGGCCAAGCACGACGGTCGCACTCGGCGCCAGCGGTGGCGGTTAGCGCCATGAATTAGCCGGCGACACAGCTCCGTGGTTTGCGCAGCCTCCCAGCTCCATCCATCGCACGGAAGGGGAAAGGAGAGGTACGGACGCCTCGCCGGTGACCTTCCCACGGTGCTGCCTCCTCCCAGCTTCCTGCAAAAAACGGCTACCGGACAGTGTGCCTGTTCCGGTGGCGAAAGCCGGGAAGCAAAAAACTCACGCAAGCGCACGATGGGAACCGACTTTTTTTTAGGAGAAAATAGAATGCGCGACGACCTGAGAGGGACAGCGTATGCGCTTCTGCGCTGCAGCTGAAAACGTGAAGGACTCAGCTTAGTCCAGATCCTTATCACTAGCAACTGAAAAATGCAAGTAAACCAAAATGATTATTACTAAATAATAAACCAAAATGTACATTAAGTTTTTTAATAGAAATATCGGACATTTGAGGAAATTTTCCTGTGTTAGTTTTCTTATGATTAAATTATATACTCCAAGGATTTTTTTTACGATTCGTTCGCAATTTGTTTTATAAGGCACCTTTTCCAGATCATTCTTTCAACTACAAAGTTAGAGAAACTTTTCCTTCTACTTATATCCCTTGCTAAGAATACTTTTGGTTCCGTGATGCAATCAAAGGAGCATTGATGAAGAGAAAATCGTTGCTGGATGTCAATTGGTGTGATACTGCCGTCATGCGCACTATTGCTAGTACACTTCTTCGAATCTGGTGAATCAATGTTGTCTCAAATGTGAAGCAAGCTGAATATTTCTGAGAACTAGGAGGGATGAAGTCGTGTGGTAGTATAAAGGCGACGATGCCCCGCCCATTGCCACCGAAGGTCGTATTATGGGTTGTCTCGTTCGCCACCCTTCTCCATTGCTCCCACTTCCTTCCGTCTTGGGGGTGCTACACGTCTCGTCGGGTGGACATCGTGTGCTCTGTTCAGACCGCTTTCCCGGATCTTGCGCAGGTGGTGCTTCACGTGACGAACCCAAATGTTGCTTCGAGGTGGGAGCAGGGCCGGCCATAATATTCTGGAGGCCCTTGTGCGAGCCCTGCAAAATGGGCCCAATGGCTATAGTAGAGAAATTTTTTACTTCCATGATTATATTATATGTTGTTATTTTCTCCTCCAAAAAATGTTGTTATCCTCTAACACTACGAGCATATAACTCCTCAGGAATCTCAGCAGTAGCATTTGTCGAAATTATGAACATCTAACTCTTCTCAGTAGTGACATTTGTTAAAATGAATTTATGCAGACCACCCTTTTTGAGTTTCAATTAACTGATCTACATGTTGTTTTTCTCCTTACAACCGGATAAATGCATTTTAGGCAACATTCTTGTAACAAAAAAAGAAAGAAAACACCTGATTTCTTGAGTCCTTATTCAAGCAATGCTTCAAGCAATCAACATATCTCCTGCCAGGCAGCCTGCAAGAGTCGTACATAATGAGAGAAAGTTAATCATCACTTCACATAACAGAAATACGTAGACAAGCGTCAAAGTATTTGCTAAAAAAATCTCTTGAATGACTTACGTGCAGTCTAAAACTCAGAAACTTCATGGTTTGGCCCCTCGCCTCGCCACGGCCCCGACGGCCACGGCCAGCTTCTCACCGGTCGCTGGAACATGCTGCGGCCTGCGCTGCCCTCAACGCCTCGAGCATTGGGGTGGTGTGTGGCTGGTTCGCCGCGTTAGTCCTCGCCGATGCCCATCGAGGCTTTGTCGCCACAGAGTACTTAAAAGATGGAAGAACCAGGTTGAGGAACCCATCAAATGATGAAGGACTAATAATACAACGAAACAATCCATTGGCTAGCATCGTTTGTAGCGCCGGCCTTTGGGAACTTGGGTCAATTAATTGGGGAAAACTTGAATTATTGAAGAAAGGAGACTGGAAGAAGAAACGAGAGGAGGTGACGGCGGCGTTCTCGGGAAGAGCAACGTGCGCGTAATAGAATGGCTGGGCCTGCTGCCATCGCTGCTTCTTCTTTTTTCCTTCTACATCCTGTAGTACACATACATTACAGGATATGCCCCCCTGCTCGGGCTGGGCCCTAGGCGGTTGCACTCTTCGCCATGGCCCAGGGCCGGCCCTGGGTGGGAGTCTAGGGGTGTGGCCCAAAGATCAACCATCTTCGATGGTGAGGTTCAGGTACAATTTTCGGGAATGAGCCGACAACTTATGACAGATGAAAAAATAACAAGAAGAAGGAAAAAAAGAACAGAAAAAAAACATCCCAAAAAAGAACTTGAACCCGCAGTCCAACATGAACTATAGTTCATGCAAAGTGAAAACCTGAAGCCAAATATAGAATGGAAATGGAAAATAGAACCCCTAGACACACACGGGGAGAACGAGGAATGTCGCAACGCCCGTGCAAGTG